TTCTCAACCCTTCTTTCCCCTTTCTCTAATATGCCCTGTCAAAGTGACACCCATTTCAGAGTTACTGCAGAAATATACCCTAATCAGAGCTTCTTGCATAACTGTTATTCTGGAACATCCAATACAGAGATATCCTTGGAAAAAAATACATATTACAGAAAAGCCCATTCCTAAATGTAGGATTTTACATCTTTCAAAATCCTCGACTAAAGTAAATTATTTCCTTAGATGTACTGCAGAACTAGACTCTTACTGTTGTTCTATTAGCATGGAATATAAGCATTTAAAATTACATATTCTTCTAGCAGACCTAACATAATCCCAGTTCTCTTGGAATATTAATTTCACAATTACTTGGCAATGCAGGATTGCCACAACAAAGGAATGCAACCTTCAGGCTGAGCTTGTGGCTTTCTGAGAAACATGACATGAAATATGAAAATTAGAGTTATCCTCAATAAAAATAACCACAAGTTACTTATTGCCATGATCTCTGCTTGCTTAGAAACTATAAATTTCAGGTCTATTTTCTTTTAAATCATTGTGAGAATTAAGCTTATTCAAAAACAGGCAATCAGCCATTTGAGGGCCTCTGTAAAACCAAATACAAACACACAACCCCTATTCATCAAATATAGGGAATAGAGTTTTTCCCCCTCAGGCCAAGACTTTCTGGGTGGCCTTAGATAAGCAAGACCTTCAGCTGAAGGTGCCACTGGTACAAGGTCACCCAATGAGTTCTGGGCTAAGCTATGATTCTGAGAAACTTCACGCACATCCATGTTTAACATTCACTTTTACTAAATGGAAACACGATGACTACTAGTTAGCTGTTTACATTTAATGCAAGCATATATCATCCCTGAGCCGCACTCTCCATGTTCTTGCACACCCATTTATGCTACAGAGCAGAGTTTTAACAGAAGCAATACAGTGACTGAGTTTGCACACCATGACAGGAGACCAAGAATAATAATAATAATAAAAAAAACATGCTTGCTTGCCATTGTGTGAACCCTATCATGGTGAATGACCATTGTGACTTACTGTGGCTGTCCAACACAGGTCTGATGTAGGGGTTCTCTCTACCACGACTGCTTGTTGTGCCATTCAAACCCAGACTTCTTGGTAGAAAGCTCAAACAGGAAAGCTGCTTGGCAAGAACAGCAGTGGCTGGCCAGATCATGCAGGGGACAACTGTCTTGTTCCCTGCAACTGTCAGACCCGATTCCTCCTGCCTCTCACCCCAAAGATCTTCTCCCCTGAATAGGGCACTGTTGTCCAGCTGATTGTCCCCATTCCACCTGTGCATGGAAGAAAGCCTCTCCCACTCCAGTGGGAGTGGGACAATCAGCACAGCAGAAGCGGCAAACGCCACCTCCTGCCCTGCTCCTGCTTGCTGGAGAGGTGCTCTGCATGCACTGGAATCCCCAGCCAGATGCCCATTCGAGCAGCCTTTTCCACACAAGAGCAACAATGTGGGTAAGAGGGATCCTCCTTCCTGCTTCCTGCTGCGAAGAAAAGCACTCTAGCGCTTGTCGGACTCCGGAACCTGGAACACACCAGAGCACCTTTCTCTCAGGCAGCCAGAACGTCCTCTTCCCCAGCAGGAGCAAGAGGGGCTGGTGCTCGCCCCCCTTTCCACCCCCACTTGGAAGAAAGGAGTTTTGGTGGGTGCTGCATTGGGGAGCTGGATGTGCAACAGACTGGCTTTCTCTCAAGCAGGAGCGAGGGAGAGCGTTTGCCTTCTGCTTTGGTCCTACTGGAAAGAAAGCCACTCAAGCAAGATCAGGGAAGGGAAGACTCGTGCTAAGCAGACAAGTTCCATTTTTGGCATGTTCCAGCCAAGGCCAAAAGAACAGAGCAACATTTCTATTTCCAAGCCTTCCTTTATGTCTTGGGAAAGCTTTGTAAAGGACTGAGGGTGGGCTGTTCGACAGAGATAAATATCAGAAGGAATTGTTTTGTGTTTTGGTTTCTAACAACAGTGTCTTGGTATTGTTCCACATCAACTTTCCTTACCGTTCTCAGAGATTGCACAGAGGCTGAGAACACTCAGTTTCTACTGTATTATTGAAGAAGGGGATACAAAGAAGTATAAAGACAACCGCTCCCCAAAGGGTAAAAGAGACGTCATCTCCCTACCTGCCCCATAGGAAAGTACCTGCAATTACTATACCAGTCACTATATGAGCAAGCATGGCGCACAGAATGCGTCTGGGCAACCTGGAGCATCACAAAGAAGCAGTGGACAAGCAATTGGACATTTCTTTTTTGCACTTTGTGCCCAATTAGAAAAACAATACTTTGGCAAAGTCAATTGGTCTTATGAGTAATGTTCAGGATTGTAAAGTAAAAGTTTGTTTATGAGTGCACTTAAGCATGTGGTATATTACTTTAAGAATCAGCATAGACACCAATAATATTGAGATTAAAAGTGCCTCCCAGCCTTTTACTGAGTCCCAGCTTGACAAAATCAAATGCAAACTGTCTACACTCAAGCTACTCACATCCTTCAAAAAAAATTTTTTTTCTTGTGTTAATCTGTCACAACACTGCGAACAGCTAGCAAGGGTACTACTAAATGCCCTTTCGGTAAGGAAGGAGAGCCAACAGCAAAGGCCTAATCTGACTTTGATGAAGCCACAACTGATAATTGTGAAGGCTTTTTCTGGAAATGTGTAGAAATGGTGGCCAAAAATAAGAAATGATTTTGAAAAAGAATAAATAGACTCTCAGAAAAAAAAAATTCACCAGCAGCACACAAAGTGCAACAGTAAGGCGGACAAACAAGCATTCTGGAATCTGATCTCATGCAGAAACAAATACGTCTTAAGAAACACCACATCCATTTTCAAACAGGGCCAATCTATATGACAATAAAGAGGGATTTAAAATACACACACATAAAGTATTAGGTCGCTATTATATCAATTATATATATTTGACATTTCAATGATATCAACTATAAGATGGAGTCACTGAAGCAGTCGGTGTGAGCTTAAGTGGACTCCGGGGACGGTGGAGGACAGGAAGGCCTGGAGGAATGTTGTCCATGGGGTCGCGATGGTTTGGATGCGACTTCACAACTAACAGCAGCAGCAGCGTAAGAGTTAAACAGAGGACTTATGGAACAATAAGAATCACATTTATTCAGAAGTAATTATCATTGTTTGCAATGGAACCTGCTTCTAAAGCAGTGATCCCCCATGTGGTGCTCCCTAGTTGCCTTAGACTTCAATTCCCACCAGCCCCAATTAGCCCGACTGGCCAAGAGTGTCAAGAGTGCTGGAAATTGTAGGTCAAAACATCAGGAGGGCACCACATTGAGGAAGGTTTTTCTGAGGTTACAGCCTGAACTTCTGCAAAGTTGGATGAACTGAAGCAGTTACTGGCCTTGGGACTGCATCTCCACACATGTATATATAGAGTGGGTGACAAAGGATAAACCTGACCTAGTAAGTTTGACTTCGCTTGCACAAAATTATCAGAGGGAAGATATAGTTAAGATCAGAGAGAAACAAAGCCTTGCAAAGGATTAGAGGAATATTGTAATCCTGACTATAAAGAAGAGAACACAAAGAAAATTTCCTCCTACAGTTACCAGCACATGGATTACTGCAAGTGTGAAATAGAAAGGTGAACATCAGTAACAAACCACAACCACTGAAGGTATAATAACGCTATGCTCATAATATCAGTAAGAAAGGGATGTTGTAATGTCTATGGAAATTGGCACAGATAATCAGCAAAGATACCTTCCAACACAACTTCACTCATCCAGGAACTGCTCTCAACAGATCCCCAAACAACTGGATCAAACAGAGGTTGGAATCAGGTTTCACAGTGAAGTCACCTGCACTCCATGTTCGCTGTTGAAGGCTCCCACTGTCACTGACAGCACCACTCCTGGGTCACTCAAACCTTCCCCATCCAAACGAATCCATCTGACAGCAGGGGAGACCAACCCAGAGCTTGGTTCTTTTCCTTCCTCTCAAAGCTTTTCATAAATTCTCAAGTTCCAGTCACTCTATGTCTTGAACAAATATTACATCGTTTTTCAAAGGGGTAAAACTCATTGTGCCTAAACTGTTTACCTGGTGCAGCATCTACAACTATTTCCGGCTTTCTTAATATATACACTGTCTTCTTTCTTTGTTCCATAGGGGCCTGTGTGCTTTCTCTCAGGTGGAGGCATTTTAAAGCAAATAGATTTTGCATTTTCAATTTTTTTCCCTTGGGGCAGTTCCAACCAACAGTTTCACCCCAACAGCCACAGATGGAAACTGAAAGCACCAATGTCTGCTAGAGACCTCAGACACGTGTTTTAATGTCTGCAGACCCTTCCTCCCCCATTCTATTTCAAGATTGTGATCACTGCAAACTCCATGACTTCAACAACAGGTCTGTGATCCTCCTACCCATTCGCTTTTTGCAATCTTGCCTGATTATGAGTGATGGAAATTCTGAAAGCTTGCATGGTTTTCGTGATCATTTGGTTAGTTTAATAAACGAATTTCACAAAAATTAATTTTGGGATTGTATCCCTGAACAGATAGCAGATAGGCAGCAGTATGCTGCAAGCACCGTGTATTATATACGTGTATCATGAAGGCCGATGGAGAAAGCATCTATAGCACATCTGCCAGCTTCATTAATTACTAAGCAAGTCAATAGTCCTGCAGCCTACCTCGTTTTTCCCATAGACAGCCAGAGAAGGGAGGGAAAGAGGGGGGTGGGAAGGGACGTGACACTGACTCAGCCATCACCAGGGACTTACCCGGGGCTGCGCTGAAACACGCTGCCCGGTTTATGTACACGCCGACATGACTCCCTCTGCACGCTGCCGGGCAGCCGCTGATCACGCGTGGCCTCCGCTCGCCCATTGGTCATGGCCTCACACACCTTTGCAAGCGATTGGCCGAAGCTGCGCCCGCCTTCTCCTACGTTGTGCCTGGGGTCCCGCCACCTGAATGGGGAGCAGCCCGCGAACAAAAAGAGAAAAATAAAGACGGCTTCAAGCAGAGAGCGCCTCGGGCGGGGAGGGAAAAGCGGTTGTCAACTCGCTCGCTCTGCATCAGGGCTGCAGCCTGACAGTACTGGCTGGGAGCAGAGGCGAAAGCCTGTTTTCATCAAGGTCATGCTAAATTTTGGAGCGTCTCCTTTCCAGCCCACCGTAAGTACAGCTCTCCGTTACATGCAAAATGAATGAGGCGACTGGGCAGGAGAACTAAACTACCAATTGTTCGTGTGCGTCTTCAGACCTACACTTCGTTAAATGCAAAAGCAAATTGTGTTGTTGTTTTTGACTTTTAAAAGGCAGTGCAGGAAAAAAGATCGTTTTATCACCTTCCAGTAAATCTGGAATAGGCTTTTTCGCAAGCATCTAGAAGCAAACGTTGGGAAGTGAAGAGCAAGCAGGAGGAAATGGGTTTGGTGGAGCGATTGTGGGAAGCCTGTGATGTTCAGACATCCAAGGAAAGCCGTGGGGAAGAAAAATGATCTGTACTTGATAACGGGGTGCATGCAACGAGGAGAAAGTAAGGTTTGTGGTGCATTGGGAAGATCACTAGCGTTGCTGGGAAACAAAATGGGATTTAAAAAAGGATTTTTAAAATCGTTTGCTAGGAAGTCGGGTTTCTGTGAAGGGAATCTTGGAAAATCCAAAAGGGGACTAGAAAATTATGGGAGAATCTGTGGTGTGGAAACTTGCGAACAGAGACTACAGATGTCCTGGAGATGAAGAACTCACACCTGTAGTCCGAAAGTGCTGGAAAGAAACTTTAGGGCTCCACCCTATCATGTTTAGGCAGAAAAAAGGTCCAGAGTGTTTCAATCTAAACATGCATAACATTGCTCTGTTGGTGACTGAGTGAAGAGGAAGATGCGAGGAGGTTGCAAATAGGCTTAAAGAGAAGGCAGGCAATTAAATAAAATTACGATATAATCCCTTGGAAAGCAAGAGTATTAGGAAACTGTTAAGAGGAACACGAACCGACTAGATAGGGGGAGATGGTTTTGGGATTTCTTGGGGAAACGGGGGCGGGCACGTGGCCGCGGCGATGTGGGAAAGCAGCTGCTTAGGGCTCCCTAATGCGGCGCTGAGGGGTGAACTTGGGGGAGGGAAGCAAGTCGGCGACGGGCGGAAGTGTGGGTGAGGCCAGTCTGCGAGTGACGAGGGATGAGGCGAAGCAGAGAGCCGGGGCTGGAGCGGGGGAGGGGGCTGCGAGCCGGGGCTGGAGGCGGGCGGACAGGGCTGGGCGAGGCCGGCGGCGAGAAGCCGCATAGCGAAGTTGAGGGGGCGACACCCACGGGGAGGGGGATGACAGGATGCGGGCGGGGAGAGGCTGGGCGGAGGCCATGCTCGCTGGCAATGATGCAGACTTCGGGGGACAATTCCGGAGGGGTTCCGGTCGGTTAGCGCCACATTGTTTCACGCGCTCAGGCCCGGCCCTTATTAGGTACATGGCCTCATTCTGTAGCTGAGGCTTGGCGGGGTTGCTCCTCGCCGCCCACGCCCTCCTCTTCCGTTTGCGGATAAAAAGAGAACAGAGCTGCGTCCTGCTTGCACCGAGACGTTCTCCCACCCGCCCTCGCTTGGCTTCTGTTACGGGCAGCCCAGGCCTGTGCATCTCGACCCGCTGAGTTCCCGCCGAATGCAGCTTACTCGAAAGTCAGCAGTGTGATCCTATCAGTATTGGGCAACTTTGCTGGATTGGTAACGCTTGCATAGGAATGCAGCCTTATTCTTTTGCTGCCGTCTCACCCGCAGGACTTGGGTGAAGGAACCACTCAGACTGAGTAGGTGCAAGCATGGTGCTAGTAATGGCTTGAAGCAGAATCCGTCCTGCCCTAATCCTTGTATAGGAAAACTAACCTGAGTGTATGGACGAAATCCTATACATGTTTAGACAAAAAAAGCCCTACAACGAATTGCATTCCACTGCCAGCATAGCTGGCATTGCTGCGAATTGTTGGGCTTTTTGTCTAAACGTGCATAGGATTCTGCTTTGGAATTAACTTCCAGATGTAATGAGGACCATTACTAGGGGTGGCTTTAAAAGGGATAAATTCCTGGAGGATAAAGCAATTAATGGCTGTATGCACTATGCCAATTTATACCTATGGCTGGAGAACATAGGCAACAGGTTGCTGTTGCATTCTTATCTTAAATGTGGGTTTCGGTAGGTGGCTGCTTTGGCACAGTGTAAACAGAATGCTGGACAAGATGGACCTGAGTCGGATCCAGCATGGTTGCTCTTGCGCTCTTAATAATTTTGCACCACTCAGAGATTATAAAGCAGGGGCATTGGGTCCAAATCCTACGTGCCCTACCACGCCCCCGTTAAGCATCGTCAGCCCTTCCCGGCAGCAGCACACGGGATTGTCCCCCTCGCATGCTTTGCTTGCTTGGCTTTGCCTCGAGGCGCAAGAGTGGAACAGTGGGCGGAGTCGAGGGCGGGCTGGGGAAAGGAAGGGCGCGAGCCGCGCTCGGGCGAGAAGTGGGTGAAAGGTCGCTGAGCGGCAATTCCCAGTTCCACGTTTCCTGCGCGCCGAAGAGCAGCCGCTGATCACGCTTCCTTCACATGCCCTCCTCCCACGAAACTCGCTTACTCGGGCGGCGCTGGCCAATCGGCTTCCGCGGCGCCTGACCTTGGTGGCCAATGGGCAACGGCGGGGCCGTTCCCCGGTAGAGAGTGCGTGCTGTTTGGAAGGAACCGGATGAGTCACCGCAGAGGCTGTCTGAGGTGAACGTGGCTTGGCGCCAAGATCTCCCTGCCCGCGAGGATCTCCCTGCCCCCGTTCGCGTCTCCTCAAGGTTTAGCTGCTGAGCGGCGAAGAGTTCTCTTCCGGGCTTGCACCCTAGTTCCCGTCAAAGATTCCAATAAGAGCCTCCTCCTCCTCCTCCTCCTCCTCCTCCTCCATGTAGATGAATTGAATGAAGCCGTATAAAGTCTCGCAGCGTGTTTAGCCTTAGGCGGGCCCAGTCCATGACTGGCAGTCACATGATGCAGCAACTTTTAATGAAGAGGCCAGGGTGTGGTAGTTCCTGGCGGGAAGACTGCCTGCTCTCTCTGCATGTATGCCTCTCTTCTGGGGAGTTCAGGATGTTAACACAAGTTACTGCATTTCTGTACTGCCCTATGGCCGAAACTCTCTGAAGTTACAAGAAACTGCAAATAAAAGCCAAAATGTGTGCAACAGCTCTGCTGTGTGTGATGTGCATGACTAAAAAAGTGTTTCTAGCAAAGCAGGCATTCAAAATGATTTTTCTGTAGGCAGGTGGCTAGGTTGGGTGTCAAAGAGGAACAGAGCGAATTGTTACAAGCCTGCATTTGTTAAACCTCACTACTTGACCCTTTCTAATTTTACTGGAATACTTCAAAAGTATGTAAAATAACCAAAAACCACACCCATGTGTTAGCTGGACAAAGGAATCAAGCCAAGACTGGTAGTTTAAAAACAGAAAACTCTCCATATTTAACACACAATTGAAATTACAAAGCAACATTTAAGACTGCCCACTGTAATCCTACCTAACTGAACTCAGGTAAGATTATGCTGTGAGTGTTTAAAAATAGAGCAAACAGAACTATAGGACATCAGACAAGTGTTTCAACACTGTAAAATATTTTAAGGACTTCCACAGAATATTTTTTCCCATTCTGATTAGATTGAAGTCGTTAGACACAAGCTGTTAAGATCTAATAGACCTATTTAAACAATGGTTTATATTTAAAAATCTAATTATTTTGTGGGTCAGACTTTTAGATCTATTAGATTAAGATGGAATTGCCTTCTGAATTGTACTACAGGGATAATCTTTTTACACTGATTAATGCTTTCATGGTTTATAATTGACATATGTTGCCTTATCTAAAAAGCTATCAAGGTGATATACAAGAATGTAAAACAAATACAGTAATAAATACAAGAACTTATATACTTGTATGGTATCAGTTTTAGAAATAATTAATGCTGTCAAAGAATGGTAAATAGGAAGCCGATGCTTTTAAACCCTGAACCTATTCTATATCTATTTTTCAGATAATATACAGGTCTTTATACTCTTAGATATCTGTCAAATATATTTGTTGCTGTGTATTGAAGAGAATTCCCCTTTTCTCATAGGAAGAAGGAATAATGACTAAAAAGAAGCACATTGGGAAGTGTTCCTGGAGTAATACCACTGGAAAGAGTGATTTTGAAGCTGTAGAAGCTCTAATGTCCATGAGCTGCAGTTGGAAATCAGATTTTAAGAAGTATGTTGAACTGAGACCAATAACACCAGCATCAGATACTTCTGAAGAACTGGAGGACAATCTGCTACCTCCTGCTGACTTCCATGCAATATCAGCCCTTGTAAGCTTAATTTTGTTATTAATTGCTTATTTACAGCACAGTCCTATGTATGTTTGTTCAGAAGGGAGTTCCGCTTATTGATTGGGACTTACTCTGAAATAAGCATGTTTAAGATTGCTGTCTGAAGTCCACAGAAAAACTAGCTTCTGATTACAGATAGCTCACTGAACCATGCTTTTGTTCTTCTCCCTAGTGTTTGACTCCACCCTACAGTCCTTCTGACCTTGAAACAGCTCAGGCAATCCATCTAGCAACACCAGCACCATCTACTGTACAGAGCAAGTCATTTACCGACACTTCTGAGCAAGGCTTTGCAGCATCTCTTAAAGAAACTGAAAAGGTTTCAGCACCAAGAATGCCAAAAGCTCAGGCAACAAGTGTTATTCGCCACACAGCTGATGCTCAGCTTTGCAATCACAGAACCTGTCCAGCAAGGACAACAAGTATTTTGAAGTATCGGGAAGATAATGTAAGGGAAGCAAGTCAACAAGCCAATGCAAAAACAAAACAAAATTCATCATGTGAGGACGTGTCACTGACTACTGCAGTTTCTGAAGATAAGCTGCCAGGCATGCAAGAAAAAGTGCTAACTGTTAGTCCGACACCTTTCACACAGGCCACACTTGGCACCCCTCTGCCTGTTCCCAGATCAGAAGAGCAGCCTAAACTGGCAGTTCCTCCATCTTCTGTGCAAGCAGGGGGAGTCCCTTCTGTGCCAGTGGTTTGCCAAATGGTTCCCCTGTCTGCTAACAACTCTGTTGTGACAGCAGTGGTACCCAACACTCCCTGTAGTCAGTTACCAACAAACTTTTGTCAGCCTGTGGTGCTCATGGGAGCCCAAGTTCCCAAAGGAGCTGTCATGTTTGTTGTGCCACAGACTGTTGTTCAGAATCCAAAGGCTCCAGTGATCAGTCCTAATGGCACCAGACTTTCGCCCATTGCTCCTGCTCCAGGTTTTGCTCCTGTTGCAACAAAGATCACTCCATCCGTTGACTCTTTAAGAATAAGAAGTCATGTCTGTAATTATCCAGGATGTGGAAAAACATACTTCAAGAGTTCCCATTTGAAGGCTCATGTTAGAACGCACACAGGTATATTATAATGAAATCAAATATAAGAAATGTAATCTCAACTTTGGTGTTTCTCTGTGTACATAAATGAATATCATTCATGTGAAGGAGAGGTTTACTGAACTGGGTTTGGAACTTTGAGAAATGCAAAAGGAAACCAGAATGTCCTTTGTCTGCTTTTCTCAGCATGCCCATTGAGATAAAAATGTCATGATGAAGAAGCTTAGGGGCTGCATGGTAGTGGCAGGGGGGACTAAAAATATCCGCATATTTTAGCTTAAGCTCTTACTGCCAGTAATAAAGCTTGGGAGAGCCATTCAACCTTATAGAATGTGGATGTGGGGTGGGGGTGGACTGCACAAGGGTTGGCGAATCACGAAAAGGTTTATGATTTAGGGGAAAGAGAGTTGGACTTAAGGGAGGGTGGCCCTCAGAAGGATCCCAGAAAGCCAGTTTTGGTTCCTGGGCCTAAGATTCCATACATCCTGGTATATAGGATGGTAGTCTAAAAGAAAGAAATGCACTTTTCTCATTGCTAAGGTTCCAGCTCATATGCAACATCCCATCACTGGTTTTGCTCTTGTAAAATGGTTAGTGCATCTAACTTCCAAAGAGTATGGTGTAACAACCATTCATGGTGTCTTTGGTCTCACCCTGGAGCTTGGGAAGCAGACATAGTTAACTGTATGTAGACTCCTGAAGATTGTTCTTCCACAGCTATCTTAGCATACAAGGAATGGAAGAGTCACCTGAAATATTTTTCCTAGAAAGAAGAGGAGCAGGGAACATTGGTCATTTGAATGTTGAAAGCTATTCACTTCACCATACTGCAGGATAAATGAGGCAATACTACAAGCGAATCCACCTTTCCTTGTTTGTTGAAATACATAGGAAGACAAACTTTAGAATTCAGAGGAGTCAGAGTTGGCTGCTTCTCACATGAGCTGCTGTGCTGTGTAGCCAGATTTACCTATTACTGTATTTTCCTCATATGGGATGCTGAGTTGTTTCAGTGTAGTGCTTATGCAAACTTGTCTGGTTTCATTATGTGACACTTGAAATGAAGACAACCTATTCTGATTTCAAACAGCATTTGCCCTAATCATTTATTCTGCATAATCCAATTTATATTCTACAGCAGGGGTGGGCAGTTTGTGTGAGCTGGATGCATTGCCTGTCAGGCCCCTCTGAGAACAGCAGTGCTGCTAACCACCACCAATTTTGATGCTGTCTATGAAGGCAGTAATTTTTGCTTGAACACAAAGTATGCAATGGGAAAGTATGTTTGGAAGCAAAATCACACTCAAGAAGATTACAGGAGAGTGATCCTGCTTCCAAACAAAGCACTTGCTTGCTGTACAAAAAGCTGGGGGAGGGGCATATGCAAACTACATGTAGCTAGACTTGGAGTAGGAGAGCATTGATTTGTATTTTGGAAGATGTCTGTACTTCTTCTCAAATCATAAGAACGTAACATTGAAGCTGGCAGATTTTCTTGTTTTTCCATTTTATAAACTGGATGCAGGAAGAATCTATGCTAGGTATCGATAAAGCAAAATTCATGCCTACAATTTTTGATATTTTTTCTTTTAGGAGAGAAGCCATTCAGCTGCAGTTGGAAAGGCTGTGAGAGGAGATTTGCACGTTCGGATGAACTGTCTCGCCATCGTAGAACACACACAGGAGAGAAAAAATTTGCCTGCATAACATGTAATCGGCGATTCATGAGGAGTGACCATTTAACCAAACATGCACGTCGCCACTTATCGGCCAAGAAGCTACCAAACTGGCAGATGGAAGTGAGCAAGCTAAATGATATCATTAAACTACCTGCTTCTGCACCTGCACAGTAAAAGCACACAATCTCAACATACTGTTAACTACTGTCACTGTGATTAGAATGTCAACAGTGATGTGAAATGGCTTGCAAAGTCTGTTCCAGCTTCAGATGACACTAGAGCAGACAGGCAATAGCTGTTTGTATTCCTGAGTGTATCAGTGACCTATAGAACATCAGGTTTCTATTGTACCTGGGGAAAGGCGGAAGGGAAGTATCAAAATCAGTGCAAGGACAAGATTTAAACATGTGGAAAACTATTCATATGTACTATGGATCAGCCAGGTATGAGCCAGAAAGCTAGGCAGGTGTGAAGGCTTTGGAATCTCTTTACAGGCATTGTAAACAAAATCCAACTTATGGTACAAAATCAGGGATAAATGTCAGTTAGACTACTAAATAATATTTGGTTTTCTATTTGAGACCTATTTCTGAATGATTGGGGAAACCTGGTCATCAAGAATCTCTTGAGATCAGTTCTGTTTATCTCCAATCCCTTAAAATATCAAGTGTAGTTTATTATAGCAATTCAAAACAACTGTAAAGTGTATAATTGAATAAGAGATACCATATGGTTGGAATATTCTAACTTGCAAGCCTAATCTATTTTTACTACTTCTGAAAACATCGTGATTAGTACTATTACCTGTACTTCAGCAACTTTTGGTGTTCCTGCTTTTAAGTTGCTTATTATTTCACTTACACCTTTAATATTCTATACTGCTGACTTTTCAAAACCTGGATACAGTGCACTTTGTTTAAAATATAATGTAAAGAGTCAACTATGAGGCTTTTTTCAGGAGGAAGGACAAGAGTATGCAATGCTACTTTCTGAAAAGTTACTCTGGAAGATAGTTCATAATACAGATATACAGGGCCTTTATACATTAAGGGTACAGTTTAAGCTATATTTAAATCAGAAAATGAGGGGATGTGTTAGGAACAATTAAAGTTAAAACATCAACGCTAAGTATGTACACCATGATTTTCTTATCATTATTCTGTTACATCTTCTGCTGTATTGGTGAAAAGAGAACTTCTGGGGATGGTGTAATATCTGTTGGTTTTTTTTTTTTTTTGGACTACTTAAAATTTTGCACAATATTTCTTACAATGTACTTTATACCTTGTTTACAATAAATACCATTTTTCTTGATACAGATGTGTTCTTTCTCAGAGTCAAACATTGACATTAAATGCCAGTGCAACACATAAATGCCAGTGCACACATAAAATGTGTGTCTTTTCTGAAGGTCGCAGACTCAGCATTGTAGCTTACCTAGAAGCTGGAATGGTGCATCAATGTTTGAGTTTTCTGCTTTCTGTAATTACTTCAAAGCTGATTTACGGATTCTGAAGTTGTGAAATAAGATCTTGCATATATTTGGGACTTCTCCACTCTCAGCCTCTAGCCTTGCTATTTCTGTCTCTGCTACCAACCTCCACTGTTTCTTCCCTTTCCTAGCCTCGCTATTTCTGCCCATTCCCCAAAAATCTTTTACCTAGTCAGGACCCCATGGCAGCCATTATGTGATTAGTCACATCCTCTATATGATCCTTTTTGCAGTGGTGCCGCAGCACTTTCTCAAATTATTAAAAGTGCACACAAGTCCAAAATGGTTGGAACCCTTGGTATATAGTGCATGAAACTAAGAGGGGAATATTCTATTATGCTCTCTGTTTCCAATCTTACCCTCTGAGTTGAAGGGTGGTGAAGAAATGTAATAATAAGTAAATACTGTATCATAAACATTTTGCCTAGTTTCTAATGGCTGAATTGTATTTTTCGCCCATTTCAGTGTAGGAAGGATAATTTTTACTCATTGAAGTCAGTTTGGGAAAAGCTATGACAAGTCAAAAATTGCTTTTTGTATCTCCTCTGTTTTCCACAATAAGAGTCTAATTGTCAAGAGTTTAGAATTACCATGGTTGGGGTTAGCTCAGCTGTAGAAAATTGGATAGTGTTGTTTTCCTTTTAAAATAGTTTTGGAGATAACATACAATATACTTCTCTCCCCCTTTCATCAGCATTGTCATCTTGTTTTTCTGATAGCTACTGGCGGTGGTGCACCAGTGTCATGGGGGGCAAGGGGATGCTGAAGCCTCATGCCCATCCCACCAATTTGATGGAGTGAGTACAAGGGGAACGGTGATGTTGATCAGGACCCCTAATAAGGGGAAGCTTAACTTCCCTTTCCAGCACTACTGATGCAGAAATTCATTTTCTGGCTTCTGTTAGTGATCTAGATCAGGTGCATTTTACACTTTTAATCATGAAAATTAACATACAAACTCCTTCAAAACATGACAGTATCTGACATTTTAAGAACCTGGAGAGAGTTATTTAAGAATCTATAGCAATGTTGTTGTTAGTCGCGAAGTCGTGTCCGATCCATCGCGACCCCATGGACAACATTCTTCCAGGCCTTCCTGTCCACCATCCCCCGGAGTCCACTTAAGCTCACACTGACTGCTTCAGTGACTCCATCTAGCCTCCTCATCCTCTGCCGTCCCCTTTTGCCATCTATTGTTCCCAGCATTAGGCTCTTCTCCAGGGAGTCCTTCCTTCTCATTAGGTGGCCAAAGTATTTGAGTTTCATCTTCAGTATCTGGCCTTCTAAAGAGCAGTCAGGGTTGTTCTCCTCTAGGACTGACCGGTTTGATTGCCTTGTGGTCCAGAGGACTTCCAGGTGTCTCCTCCAGCACCACAATTCAAAGGCCTCAGTCCTTCGGTGCTCAGTCTTCCTTATGGTCCAGCTTTCACAGCCATGCATTGCAATCTATAGCAATAAACCATCCCAAATGGCCATGCACTTTGAATGTTGGTTATATCATCATGTACTTCATATCCTCAGATCACTCAGACCAACAGAACAGTCACTATTCCCAAAGACAATTGCACACATAAGCAAGAACTGCTTAAGGTGTCTTTAGTGGTTCTGCAAATATACTACAGAACCAAATGTCTACAAATCACAGTGAAATCCCACCATTTCTTGAGAGTCCAAGAAGAGTGTTGGACTTGTATTCAGGAGATCTGGGTTCTAGTTCACTGGGTGACTCTGGGTCAGTCATGGACTCTCAGGCTAAACGGTACTGCAATGGTGGATTTTGTGAAGATACAATATAGAGAAGGAAAGCCTTGTAAGCTGCTTTGGTTTCCCTTTAAGTGGAAGAAAGGTGGGGTATAAATGCAATGTAACAATAATGCTTATAGTACTATCATGCTTTACTCATAAGAACATAAGACTAACGTTGAATCAGGCAAAGGGCCCTTCAAGTCCAATTCCACAGGAAATCCACAAGCAGGACATGAATGGATGTACTCATGCATACTTCAACTGTTATACATGACATGACATAGTGCCTCTGATGTTGGTGGTAGCATGTGGCCGTCAGGATGAATAGCTTTGCCTCCACAAATTTGCCCAACTTCTCTTTTAAAGCAATTTAGATTGGAATTCCCTAGTTTAGCAATGTGCCGTGTGAAGAAGTACTTCCTTTCCTGTGTCCTGATTCCCCTACCAACCAGCTTCATGGGATGACTTCTGGTTCAAGTATTATGAGAAATACTATCCACTTTTTCTACACCATGTATAATATAGTACAACTGTCATATATCCACTTATGTTTTTTCTAAGCTAAGCAGTTCTGGCTTTTGCTTTCAATAATTCCCATTAAATTCAGCATAATATATTCCTAGTTAGGCCATTGCCTATAATATCAAGTTTTAATAACTTTTCAAAGCAAGCCTCATGTCTTGCCCATAAGGGAAATCTAGGCTATTCCCTTTTCTGGGATGACTTGATAGGTTTCTACATGCGCTGTGCATGCAGTTAGCTTTGCTCAGTGGCAGGGTGTTCCTGAATTTATTGACAATCATTCATGGATGGGAGGCAGTTAGCCAAGCTCCTTTAATACAAGTCACATGGAGAAGCAAAGAACTTTCTCAGTGACCCCAGCTTCCTTGTATCTTATTACAGTAAGCACATGTACTAGCCTTTTTAATTTACAAACTGTGCCTTACTTCCATGCAGATGTGGTACAGTACATGTTTTTACATAGTTGGCCCATATTCAAGCCGCACCAGTTTTTAATTAAAGCAGGGGTGTCAACCTTTGTTCAGCCCAAGGGTCGTTTCAGTTACAGAGTTCAGGGGCTCTATTGCAATGGTGGGTAGTGCTGAAGGTTAGGGTCAAGTACCAGCATACTAGAGTTTAAACCATTTATTGCCAGTATCAGAACCTTCCAAGAGGCATTTCAACCTTGCAGAATGGGGAAAACATTTTTCACAAAGTGGGAAACCCACAAATGGTCAGTGGTTAAGGAAAATGGTCCTAGCCTTCAAGAGAACCCCAAAAGGTCCAATGGGGCTCTAGGCAGACTGGATTTCGGCCTCCAGGCCAGGAATTCAGCATCCTTGAAATAAAGGCTATAGGGCAGAAGCTTAAGAGGAAACTCCTGTATTAAGAGTGTTGCATAACTTGACCATGTAGAACTATGTAGATTTGGTCTCAGGAGGTGCAGACAAAGAAGCCCAGGCTTAAGATGATACAGAAACATAATACATTATCAAGTGTCTTACACTTTTAATCTGTGTGAATTGACATCTAATATCTGTCATCCAACTTCTACAAGCTCTTTCTAGAAGCAGGCTACTACTCTGTTTCTAAATCGGGTACCATAAATTTGAACTATCCCAGGCCTAAATACGTTGCCCAATGGAATGGCATAGAGATCAAATGGGTCAGCCAGTCCTAAGGTCTATTTTTAAATAGTACAGACACGCTGACATGCAATACTAACAGACACAAATATCTCGCAGAGGCAGCCCTACATTTAGACTGACCTCAAACTTCATCGATCATAGCAAACTGGCAAGAATAACAAGCGAGCCAGCCAGTTAGGTGTTCTGCTAAAATGTATACTTCTCAGAATCAGCCTTTAATATTTATACCACAGATTCTCTTGAAGGTAGAAGAGAACCCACGTTTTCCATTCAGCAGTATATGATGCATAAAGTATTTTTTCTAGCTCTTTAATTTAAAATGCTTTGAATTACTCTCATTTAAAATTATTTGTATAGATAGCCTAAGCCACGCATGAACAATGGGTACTGTCTCTGGGCCAAACAATATCTTATGCAGTAGATCCTGATCCTGCCCCCCACCTTCAGTCTAAAGTGAGGAGTATCCCTCAGGGGCAACTTGGAGGGGGCTCTATGCAGTATCTGCCTGTGGGCCCCTCCTGTCACTGGGCCCTGGTAGGCGTGATTGCCCTAAGCACTGTTAGATGATTGGATATAGCCATATTTTTAATTTCCCACAATGCTCCAACATGACAGTGCATCAGGAGCATTGTGAGAAATTGAAAGGGTAGCTAGATTTAGTCACCTGATGCTCCTTGGAATGGTGGGCCAAAGGGAAAAGTGGTGGAGGGGGCAGGAGTTGGCCCTGCCAGGGTGCTGGGGCTCTGTCAGCTGCCTGAGGATGCCTTGGTCTAATAACAGCTTGAGAGAGACTTACATTAGTCAAGAATATTTATTTTATTATGTATTTATTAGATGTACTGTCCTGCCTTTTCCCTTACAAAAACTCCAAGGTGGCTTACACCATTCTCCTCCTGCTGCTCTCAATCTTATCCTCACTGCAACAGCCCTGTGAGGTAGGCTGGGCTGAGAGTCTGTGAGTAGCGTAAAGTCATCCAGTTGCCTCCTTGGCTGAGTGGTGACTAAAACCCAGATCTCCTGAGTCCCAGTCCCATGCTCTTAACCACTACATTACTCTGAATTCTGTTGAATATTGGAAGTTGTAATCTAAAACTGGTTCCTAGGTAATCAGTCACAGAAAGTATTTTTAAAATGAAGCTGTAATTCTGCAATTCTTTCCTGTTTAGGTCAAAGAACAGTCCTACTCCTGAACATTAGTTTGGGAACCAATGCCATATCAGGCCAAGCCTGGTTTACTGCTTTTGTTTGATCTGTTTCCCCATTCCTGGCCTCTTTAGCCCTTGACCCCACCAAGACTTGTTGACAGATTGTATTATCATGTCTTTTGTCACTGGCCAGGTTCAGTGCACTACGACAAGGTTTTCCTGGCAGTTCTAAATTTTCTAAGTACAAAACTGCAGTGCACAATTTTGAAAATGTACAGTTTT